TATTTAATGAACGTTTCTTGACTTGACTTACTTTGATCTGAAGGTTCCCAAACTTATTTGGCTTAACCACTCCCTTTTCAAAAAAAAAAAAGGTATTCACTGGAAATTTACTTCAACACTTTTTTTTTTATGCTTTTAGGCCATTGGGGTTAAGTGACCTGCCCAGGGTCACACGGCTAGGAAGTGTCAAGTGTTTGGTCTGAGGCCGGATTTGAACTCAGGTCCTCCTGACTTCAGGGCCGGTGCTCTATCCACTGTGCCACCTAGCTGCCCCTTTATTTAACACTTTAATTTTTTTTTCTGGAATTTGTATCATTTCAAAAAACATAATTGTTTTAAATGACATCTTAAATTTAATAATTTATTGTAAATTTGTGGATTTTTTCTGCATTGAAATTTTGATGATGCAATACTGCATCATGTAATCATATAGTATTGTATTATAAACAAGTCATTACACAAATTCTTGCCGATGCATGCTGGACTTCCCAACAATGCGTAACACACTCACCTGCCAACACTTGCTTGTTAAGACCTGTTGGCGGACTTGACCACTGATGGATTATAACTTGCATTTTGTGTGTTTATTTGGAAAATAATGTAATCACTATGATTTTAACTCTGTTACACAACAGCTTTTCATAATTTCCTTCTCTTCTTTCCTTATGCTTCCACGGCCCCCTAATTTTTATTCAATACCCTGCAATTGTACCTGAGGTTAATACTGCCCCCCGGGATCATTCCAGCACCCTCCACGGGGCGGTATCACCCACTTTGGGAACCTGTGCTTTGATTGATTGTTTCCATCCATAAACAATTACCGCTGGGAAATGAAAACTATTTGGACAAAATTCTCAAATGGCATGATAGGCTGAAGAAAAAACAAGCATATCCCATGATATGATGAATTTCAACATTTTATGGCTGGATATCATATTATTAAAACAAAAAGTATCTCTTCCAACAGCTGTTACATATAAATTCCCTCCGATTTATGGTTTCTGTAATGTTATATTTATTGAAAAACTCAGTAATTTTTTTCAAAACAAAGCACCCTTAATAGTCTCACAATACTTTATGAGTTACATAACATGAGAAAGAGAAATATTAACGCTAACTGACTGAATGACTGATTGGGGACAAAGGTTTTAAATGAAGAGGGCTCTGTTTCTGTCCATAAACTAAAACCTACCCCTCAATCTGGTCAAGAAAAAAATTAATATTTCCGCAATGATTGGTGTTTAATGGCCCATCTTTACTAACCTAACCTGTCAAGGATTCATTAGAAAAAGATGGTTAAGGGGCAGCTAGGTGGTGCAGTGGATAGAGCACCAACCCTCAAGTCAGGAGGACCTGAGTTCAAATCTAGCCTCAGACCAAACACTTGACACTAGCTGTCTGACCCTGGGCAAGTCACTTAACCCCAATTGCCTAAAAGAAAAGAAAAAGATAGTTAACCACAGTGTAGGCAAACAGCCCACAACAGGAATGCTATAATACTTATTCTTCAAAGACATAGGATTTCATCAGGTGGTTACTCCCTTTATCCATATAAAAATCAATCTTTACTCTACATTACTAGACATTCTTCATTGGATACTATGGCCAGAGAAAATCACTATACTATAGCCAGCCTGGTGATAAGCTTGTCTGAACTCAACTTAAGGGAGTCCTCAGACTACAGACACATTATCTATTCACCAAGGACACCATTGCTAGAGCTAAGTGGCACGGCAGATAGAGTACTGGACTTGGAGTCAGAAAGATGTGAGTTCAAAACCGACCTCAGACACTTGTCAGCTGTGTGACTCTGAGAAGTCACTTGACCTCAGTTCCCCATCTGTAAAATACGAATAATAATAACACTTACCTTTCAAGGTTGTTATGAGGATAAAATGAGGAAATATTTCAAAAGCACTTTGAACATCCTAACGGGTAGCTTTTTAAAAAAAGATATCTAAGGACATTGGCTCAGAAGACCTGAGTTTATATCTGGCCTGAGACATTTGTCAGCTATGTGACCCTGGGCACAATCATTTAAATTCTGACTCAGTTTCCTCACCTGCAAAAAAAAGGGGATAATAATAGCACCAATTTCTCAGGGCTCTTGTCAAGATAAAAAGAGATAATGCTTGTAAAATGCCTTGCAAATCTTAAAACCCTATATAAATGCTAGCTATGGTGGTTATAATTATAGACAGGTTCATACTTAAAGCCTTTCTTAGGTGGTTAGACCTGCCATAGTTTGAAATCTTCTGCCATGACTTTTATCAGTCAATCAGTAAGCATTTATTAAGTGCCCACTGTGTGCTAAGCATCGTGCAAGCCACATTAAGATGTTACCAAAGGGCTTGAGTAGAAGGACACTACTTTTTACCTGAAAAAAATTCCTAATATGTAAAAAGATTAAAAAAAATTTAAAATACTCACAGTCACAAAGTATGAATGATAGGAAGAATTGTTATTATAACAGTAATAATAATGATAATATTATTATTTAAATAGCACTTTAAGGCTGGCTAAAGCACTCTACATGTTACTTCATTTGATCCTCCCAACAACCCCATGTGATAGATGCTGCTATTATCCCCATTTTACAAATGAAGAAACTGAAGCTGACCAAAGGTTAGGAGATTTGCCCAGGGTCACACAGCTCGTAAGTGTCTGGGACAGGATTCAAACTCAGGTCCTTCTGCCTCCAAGTCCAGACCTCTATCTACTATGCCATCTAGTCCAACTCTTACCCGAACAAGATTCCCCCCTCGAAACATATAATGATTTGCTGTTGTTATTCAGTCCTTTCAGTTGTGTCTGACTCTTTATGACCCCTTTCTTGGGTTTTTCTTGGCAAAGATAGCAGAGTGGTTTTCTATTTCCTTCTCCAGTTCAATTTACAGATGAGGTAACTGAAGAAAACAGAATTATGTGACTTGCCCAGGGTCACACAGCAAGTAAGTATCTGAGACCAGGTTTGAATTCAAGAAGATGAGTCTTCCTGACTCCAGGCCCAGCACTCTATCCATGGTACCACCTCAATGCCCACTCTAGGTATCTACCAGTAGGTTATGGTTTAGGGGGGCATTTTATATAAGCACAGTACCAACACTGATAAAATCATAAGGCTTCAATGGATTTGTATTCCCCAAACTATGTTTTATAAAACCCTAGTTTGTTTTTTCCTATGATGCATGAAAGTTTTAATTCCAGTTAATCATCTAAAAACATACATCCAACCACAGAAGGACTTTCCAACCAGGCCTCGAGCCCATCCTCCCTTACCAAGCCTTGACACTTCCATATGATATCCCTCCATTATTAGCCACATGATCTTTTCCTTATCATGACTGTTTAAGCAGCTGTCTTCAAGATATATGACTTACAGACTTCAATACCTCGATCACTTATAATTCTACTTTTAAATCAAAGTATTAAGAAATGCAACTATTCAATCAAGAGTAAAATGATTTGAGAAGAAAACAAAGCATAAAATGTAGAAATATCATCATACTGACACTGAAGAATATATAATGGGTGGCACAGTAGATAGAGTACTGGCCCTGGAGTCAGGAGGACCTGAACTCGAATCTGGCCTCAGACACTTGACAGTTACTAGCTGTGAGACTCTGGGCAAGCCACTTAACTCCAACTGCCTAAGCAAAAAAAAAAAAAAAGAATATAAAGAATATATAATGGTAGCCAGAGGGGAGGGGAGGGGAGGGAAGAAAAAAAGAAGAAATTTACATGATAACTTTATTATATATTTAAAAGGAATAGAAAGTTGTACATAACAGATTTGCAATTTCATGTGCAATCATCTTTTTTATTATGCTATGTTATAGAAATACTTGTTTTATTCTATAAATTAAAAAATAATAATTTTAAAAATAATATATATAATTATTTAACTGAATAATTGTTCATGTATTCCTAATTTTCTGCTGTGAAACTCGGTAATCAACTTACGTTAAATTTCTATAAACGTAATTAATTATTTATAATAAGTATCTACCAGTAGGTCTTGAGGTCATTTCATATAAATAATATAGAACACTGGGCTTGGTCCCAGAAGATTTGAGTTCAAATTCAGCCGCAGACACTTACTAGCCTTGTGACCTGGGTAAGTTACTTCACTCCTATTTGGCACAGTTCTTCAACTGTACAATGGGGACACAGTGGGAGAAGGAAATGGCAAACCACTCCAGTATCTTTGCCAAGAAAATCCCCCAGACAGAAGTCGATGGGGTTATGTAGGGTCAGACACAACTGAACAACTGAACAACAACACCGTACCAACACCAATGAAATCACATGCCATAGATGTATCGACACTTCCCATACTATGTTTCTATAGAACCCTAATATTTCACATGATGCGTGAAAATTTCAATTTCAGTAAGTCACCTAAGAAGGGGCTATCCCAACCACAGAGGGACTCTCCAACTAGGCTACAACATCATCTCCTTTACCAACCTTTGACTCTAACTTCCACACATCAACCCTTCCTCTGTTCATAAGAGGAAGGGAGAGGCTACAAGAGCAAACATCCAACTTGGGTCATAATTCTGGCCATAACTGATATTCCCATCTCCTTGCACCACTGCCCCTTTATATCTCCATGGCCTTAAACACAAAGTTTGGCATTTATAAAGTTCCATCAATAAAATTCAAACCCAAAAGTGTTCTGTCACTAAATTAGTTTGGAAAGTACTGTAATACTATATTCAACTTGGAATAAGAAGGCAATAGGTCACTGCTCACATTGCTTAATTGAGCCTTCAGATTCAGACAATAACTGGAAGTATAACCTTTCTCAAAATGTTTTTTTCCGCATACTGAAAAAGCCAATTTTGCCTTGAATCTGAGGACTCAGAAATCCACTATAACTGGAAAACACACATCAACTAAAACTGGGAACAACATTTTTCCAATATTCAATTCATTTTCAAACAGCCACGTACAACTCTAGCAACTACAGAAGAATTTTAACCAAAATGCCTTACTTTTCTGTAGACGATCATATTTGGAGTAGTCTCTTCTGGGTCAGCAATACCCACCGAACTTTGATCACTGGTTCCCTGAGCCATTTTGAAAATCTTCACTCACCCTAGAAGGACAATTGAGTATGAGATTAATTTATGTAAAAGAAACATTTGAAACAACGAACTGAGTATCTTTTGGCAAGTTGTAAGGAAAAAACAATAGATCTTTCCCCATTTTTCCTCATGAAATTTTTAAGGAATTAAAAGGCAAGGATCAGTAAAAAGTTCAGATCTTACCTATCATCCAAACAGAGGCAGCATCTAATCCTGCCTCTAATAGATTGCCTGTATGATGTTAGACAAGCCATTTAACCTCCACGCATTCATTGCCTATCAGTGAAATTTACTCGGTATAATACTTGGGGGGGAAAAAAAGACCTTAAATTAAAAACAAAATCAGTCATCAAACAAGTTTTTATTAAGCTCAAAGAGTTTACATTCTAACAGGAGATAATCTACACATCACGTATATACATATATGCATATATAACACACACATATATATATGTATATAATATATATACACACATGAGTGAGTGTGTGTGTGTGTGTGTGTGTGTGTGTGTGTGTGTGTGTGTGTGCATCATGTCCATACAAGGCAACCATGGGTAGAAAGGTACTAAAGCAATTGGGGATAAAGTGGAAACCAGGCAACAATTTCCTTCCTTCTTTCTTTCCTTTACCTTCCTTTTTTCCTTCCTTCTTTCCTTTACCTTCCCTCCTTCTTTTACCTTCCTTTTTTCCTTCCTTCCCTCCTTCCCCTTCTTGCTTGATTTCATCATCTCCCATGGATTTAGTTCTATGCAGATGATTCTCATATCTGTTTTTCTAGCCTAAATTTCCCTCCTGCCTTCTAGTCTTGCATGTCCTACTACCTATTGGACATCTCAAGCAGAACACTCCATAGACATTATGAATTCAATACATCCAAAACTGAACAGATTCTCTTTCTCCCTAAACCCTCTCCTGTTCCAAACTTATCTATTACTAGATACTATCCTCCCAGTCACCAAAGTTCACAACTTTGGTATCCTCAAGTCCTCACTTACTCTCATTCTTCACATCCAATCTGTTGACAAATCCCATTGATTCTACCTTCAAATCATTCCTCCTATACACCCCCTTCTCTTCTCTGATAGTGTTGCCATCTTGGTGCAGCCCTCATCACCTCATGCCTGGACTATTGCAGTTGTCCTCCCTTTCTAGTCCACCTTCCACTCAGATACCAAAGTGCTCTTTGTAAAGTACAAGCTTGATGATGTCAGCCCCTACCCAACAAGCCCCAGTGCTCTGTCTTTAATACCCTTCACTTGCCTCTTCCTACCTTCCCAGCCTTCTTGAACTTTCCTTGCCTCCACATACTCTATGAACCAATGACGCTGACTTCCTTGCAGTTCCTTGCCTGTGACACTCCCTCTCTTTGTTCCTCCAGGTCTAGAATGCTCTCTCCCTCTTCATCTCCACCTCTTGGCTAGCATGGATTCCTTAAAGTCTTAGATACAATCTCATCTTTTAAAAGAGGCCTTTTCTGATCCCCTTTAATGCTAACGGTCCCCTCTGAAAACACCTCCAATTTAGCCTGCATATATGCTAAATGTACACAATTCTTTGTATATTATCTCCTCATTAAAATTTGAATGCCTGGGGGGAAGGAGGAGGGGAAGAAAAGATGGAGGGAAAGAAGGTGGGAGGAGGAAGGAAAAGAAGGAACTTATTAAATGCCTACTATGTGTAGGGCAGCTAGGTGGCACCATTGTGCACAGGGTGCCAGGCATGGAGTTAGCAAGACTCATCTTCATGAGTTCAAATCCAGCCTCAAGACACTTACTAGCTGGGTGACCCTGGGCAAGTCACTTAAAATGAGCTGGAGAACGAATGGCAAACCACTCCAGTACTTTTGCCAAGAAAACTCCAAATGGGGTCACGGAGAGTCAGACATGACTGCAAAACGATTGAACAACACGCTCCAGATACTGCACTAAGCGCTTTACAAACTCTATCCACTGCACCACCTAAGTGGGAGTCAACATGAGGTCTTTTGAATCCAAATCCAATGATCTTCTTCACTCCCTCATATCTAATGTAATCTAATAATCTCATCTAACAATGTAATCATAATCTAATCTAATCAACTATAATTATTATATAATTGCGTCTTACTCTTCCCCCTAACTAAATTCTAAATTTCAGAAAGGTTGAAACTTTGTAGTAATTATCTTTTGCATCTCCTTCTACATAGTTATTTTGGACATTATAGACGCAACAAATAACTGCTGAATGAAGGTATGAATAAAAAATAATCTCTTCCCCCTTATTAGTTAGAATACAAAAATTTCTAATTGCATAAAGGAATCAGCATAGTCTTATTTACCCATCACTTAACTTTAAAAATCAGCATTTCTATAAAAGCTACCATGATGCCTCACTGCAGGAAAGGGATGATTAACTACAAGTTCTTAGAGGCTTTTCTGGGGGAGTGTAAACTGGGACAGATTCTACCATGGTATGATGGCTAAGTACAATCCTGGCAACAAATTATATCTGCTTTTTAAGTACAGAGTACAAACGCCTATCTACTAAGTGATGGATTATTTGGCCATGGCAATCTATGAAACAAATAAAAATTTACTACGGTCCCCACTCCTATGCTTTCCATTCCCACTGGTGCAGTGACGGTGGCAGAATGCTGGAAAAGGACACAGAGGGTGCTAATAACTACAGTTTTGTTTTTTTTTTTACTTTCTATAAACATTATCTTAGCTGTTGGTATTCAAAATGTGATCTAGTGACAAACAGAAGGACATACTGCCAGAGGAACAAAACCTTATATAAGATAGCTATGTAGCAATAACTATAATGAGGAAACCAAAAAAGCCTAGAAACTGACTCAGCCAGCAATCACTTGATTTCTGTGCCATGATAACATTAATTTCTTTTAAATTTTTTATTTATTATTTTATTTTTCCCCAATTACATGTAAAAACAATTTTCAACATCCATTTTTAAAGTTGAATTCCAAATTCTCTCTCCCTCTCTTCCCATCACACTCATTGGGAAGGCAAGTAATTTGATATAGGTTATACATGTATAGTCATATAAAACATATTTCCATATTAGTCATATTCTAAAAAGAAAATATAGACCAAAATAAAAACCTAAGGAAAATAAAGAAAGTTTAAAAAGGTATGCTTCAATTTGTATTCGGACTTCATCAATTCTTTTTCTGGAGACGGACAGTATTTTTCATCTTCAGAGTTGTCTTGGATCTTTGTATTGCAGAGAATAGCTAAGTCATTCACAGTTGATCATCTTACAATATTGCTGTTACTATGTACAATGGTCTCCTAGTTCTAATCATTTCACTTAGTATCAGTTCATGTTAGTCTTTCCAGGTTTTTCTGAAAGTATCTAGTTCATCATTTCTTATAATATAATAGTATTCCATCACAATCAAATACCTCAACTTCTTCAGCCATTCTTCCACAACTGATGATCATTGCCACCAGAAAAGCAGTATAAATATTTTTGTATATACAGGTCTTTTTCCTTTTCTTTTTTTATCTTCTTTGGGATATAGACTCAGTAGTGGTATTGGATGTCAAAGGGTATGCATGGTTTTATAGGCCTTTGGGCATAGTTCCAAATTGCTCTTCATAATGGTTGAATAAGTTCACAACTCCACCAACAGTGCACTGGTGTCTCAATTTTCCTACAACCCCTCCAACATTTGTCATTTTCCTTTTCTATCCTGTTAGCCTATCTAATAGGTATGAAGTAGTACCTCAGTACTGTTTTAATTTGCATTACTCTAAGCAACAGAGATTTAGGACATTTTTTTCATAGGGTCATAAACAGCTTTATCTAAAAACTGTTCATATTTTTTGATCATTTAGCAATTCGGGAATGACTCTCATTTTTACAAATTTGGCTTATTTCTCTATATATTTGAGATATGAGACCTTTATCATAAAAACTTGCTTCAAAATATTTTCACAGCTATGATTGCTAACTGTACTTCCCTCCATCCTATTTCTCCCATTTATTCTATTCTCTCTCTCCTTTCACCTTGTCCCCCCTCAAAAGTGTTTTGTTTCTGACTACCACCCCCTCCCCAATCTGCCCTCCCTTCTATGAGCACTCCCCCAATTCTCTAATCCCCTTCCCTTCCTACTTTCCTGTACGGTAAGATAGATTTCTATACCCAATTGAGTGTGTATGTTATTCCCTTTTTGAGCCATTTCTGAAGAGAGTAAGGTTCAAGAATTTTCTGCTACCTCTGCAATCTTCCCCTCCACTATAAAAGCGCTTTCATGCCTTTTTAATGTCAGATAACTAACCCCATTCTATCTCTCCCTTTCTCTTTCTCCCAGTGCATTCTTCTTTCTCATCCCTTAATTTTATTTTTTTTAGATACTATACCATCATATTCAACTCACATCTGTGCCTTCTATCTATATACTCCCTGTAGCTGCCCTAATAATAAGAAAGTTCTTTTGAGTTACAAGTATCATCTTCCCATGTAGGAATGTAAATAGTTCAACCTTATTAAGTCTCTTATGATCTCCCTTTCCTGTTTACCTTTTTATGCTTCTCTTGAGTCTTATATTTGAAAGTCAATTTTTCTATTCAGCTCTGGTCTTTTCATCAGGAATGCTTAAAAATCCTCTACTTCTTTGAATATCCACTTTTTCCCCTGAAGGATTATACTCAGTTTTGCCAGGTAAATGATTCTTGGTTGTAATCCTAGCTCTTTTGCCCTCTGGAATATCATATTCCGAGCCCTCCAGTTCTTCAATGTAGAAGCTGCTAAATCTTAGGTTATCCTGACTGTGGCTCCACCATACTTGAATTGTCCTTTCTGCCTGCTGGCAGTATTTTCTCCTTGACCTGGGAGCTCTGGAATTTGGCCACAATATTCCTGGGGGGTTTTCATTTTCGGATCTCTTTCAGGAGGTGATTGGTGGATTCTTTTAATTTCTATTTTACCCTCTGGTTCTAGAATAATTTATTAAAAGATGATGTCTAGGCTCTTTTTTTGATCATGGCTTTCAGAGAGTTCGATAAT